TTCTACCCATGATGATAAACTCCAGAGATGTCAGGCCACAGATGATTTAATTTGCTTTTAATTACATCATATAAAACTGTATCTAGTTAAACAATCAGTGAAGTCCACAAGGGTAGCCTCTACACAGCAAGGCTATGGATCTAGTTGATGCTAGCTGTTACTTAGACACTACCTGAGTGATTTTGACAGGGTAAGAATCAGTTGAGTTTTCTAAAATCTCCACAAGTTCTGGTGCTTTCCAGATGTTCTCTCTCACAGTAATGTCCACAGATGTGGTATGACTGAAGGAGTTGTCGTTCTGGCCTCCCATGTCCTTCACTGACACCACCAGGTTGTAGGAAGGATTCTTATCTGGATTCAGTTCCTGAGCCCCTTAATGTAAGAAGGGAGAAGAAAGAAAATGTCTCCACAGGTGACAGACCTTCCTTTGTCTTGGTTCATGAGGGCTGACCTTGACTCACCTTCTTGGGTAAGTGATATTGCCCCTGTTTTGTTGTTGATCTGAAAGTACATGACATTGTTGATTTTGGGAAGCTGGATGACAATCTCATAAAAAAGCTGGCCATTGGGAGTGGTTGGGTCATCCAGGTCTGTAGCATTGACATACATGAAAGGCTTTCCTGGTGACAAAACAGAGACAAAGAGAACTGAAATTCAAACTACCAGTAGCTATTGCCGCCTAAGTTACGGAGATAAAATGGGAGAAGGTACGTGGATTCCCATCAGTGGGGAAATGAATCTTTATTTTGCTCCCCTAGCCTACAATAGGATTTCAAATGTGGGACAGGAGCTCCTAGGAATCCCTGGGTATGTTTCAAGAAGTTTATGAAGTTAAAAATTACAGGGTATAATTCACAGGTCTAAAAATCCACCCAAATTTTTAAGAGAACATAGGAGTCTTGAGCCCCCAAAATCTGAGAATCACCTCTCTAGAAAATTTTACTCATGGAGAGAAAAGATGGTAATGTCTGGAGCCAAGTCTACATAAGTGAGTCTTTGCTACACCACCACAGGGACAAAAAACAGGACAGCGCAACTCCCTGGATTAATACTTGTGCACACTGAAGGTAAGAAAAGGAAGAGGCTGAGTAACACAACGGGTCACTTGATGGGAGTTCACGGAAATACCAAAAATCTTTCTGGGAACTTGAAAATCTAATATCCACTTTTGTGTAGTTACACAGTGCATGTTCAGAGGTATCTGCTACGTACATGATACCGCTGTGAAAGGTTCTATGGAAATGGACAGTAGACCAATGCAGCACAAGAAAGGGTGAGCCACAGCTGGAAGACAGGCACAGGAAAAGGAGCCCACGGTGACTGAGCTTCCTACAAGGACACGGAAGAGCAAGCAGACCTTTCCAGACAATTTTAGGCTGTTCTGGAACTGTAAGGTGCTTTAAAGTTCACCACAAAACAGTGGGCTTTTCCTCTCACAGAACATTTGGTAGTATCTAGAGACATTTTGTTGTCATAGCTTAGGGCAGGGAGCGTTCCTGGCATCTGGTGAATAGAGATCAGAGATGCTATGTTAAACATCCACAGTGCTTAGGAGTCAACAGGGCCAAGGACAAAAGACCCCGTGCCACAGCACTAAGTATAACAAAATAACTCTCAGAAGAGCACTATGAAATTTACATAAGACAGTGTTTGATAGCTACAGCTATCAGCTGCATACTCCACCCCTCCATCTAACACACTTCCATCATTTCGCAGACATACCCAGGCTCCTGCTTATTACCTGGGCGGGAGTTCTGCCTCACTGAGCCTTCATATTTTGACTGGAGAAACGTGGGTCGATTGTCATTGATGTCCTTCACTTCTATGGTGATGGAGACTGGGCCCTCCACTATAGCTCCATTAGAATCCAGGGCTGCAAGCTGATGTTGAGAAAAGGGAAATAACTTTGGTGAGCCTAGATTTCATATCATGTGCTCAAAAGTAGCTTAAAGAAACTTAAAGGCCAAAGGACCAATGACCTAGTGACTACAGGAAAGAAAAAAACCCACAAAAGCCCAAATTGTGAGCTACTAAAATGGGGTCCAATAGGTCAAGTCTGGCTGATCATGGCAGAGCTCTCCAGCAATGAAGGGGACATGTTCTTTTATAAGCCATGGTGTGCTGTGGCCCCTCATAGAGCTGCCACAGTGCTTAGCCCGCAGAGTCCATGGCAGAAGGTACCAGACAGGAAGCTGTTGGCTTGCTGTTTTTCAGTTAGCTCTTTGCCATTTCTAGCTGTTCGGATACCCACTGTGAAAACTTTGGGGAAAAGAGAGAGAAGGGTGTTCTCAGTCAGCCTCTGACCATAGATTCCTTTGTGTTCCAAGGTCCCAAGAGCTCTATCCCAGCACTGATACAGCCTCCACAGGCCAACTATCACTACCAGAGAAGCATTGCTGGGTTTCAGGCCCAGTTCTTAAACATGTAAACGTGGCCTGATTTGAATGAGTAAGGCCATCTGAGGGCTTTGATGATGTAAATTGGGATACTCTGGTCAAAAAGCTTAAGGAGGAGGGACAGTGCCCTTGCTATACCCCTGTGTAGTTGGTTTAAAAAAAAAAAAAAGGTCATATGAGAATTGCAAAGTTGGCTGTTGATGTCAGGAGAGGTACAATGAGAAGCAAGGGACCAAGTGGATTCCAAGAACAAAGGTGCTGTAGAAGCTGGAGGTGCGTCTCTGGTCCCAAGTCACCTGGAGATGGTGAACTGCTCTTGTCTCTCTGTCCAGGGCTTTGGTGTAATACAGAAGTCCATCCTGTTCTATCATAAATATGTCATCTGTCTCTCCCGTTAGTTCAAAAGTTGTAGCTGGAGGGTTGGCCTTAAACTGAGAAAAAACAAAAGACAGATTAAGCTCTGAGGAAACACAATGTTTTAGAATTTATAGAAAGTCACCAACTTCAGTTTTGCTCGTTTTGTTTTGGTTTTTGTATAATCATTAGATTAGAAACTCCCAGCCCTTTAAAGCAGCATATGCTGAAGGTTTGTTTGTACATTATGTAGCAGCCATAATACATTTTCATATAATGTATGAAGCAATGTTTCATGTAATTCAATACATGGACAAAAGGCAGTAATGCTTTAAATTGTAGTTGGAGATAAAGGATATTATTGAGGGAAAGTCTAAAACCCATCATATTGCCACCATCTAAGAAAAGGAAGTAAAATTTCTAGCTTTATTGATAGAATAAAAAGATGTCATTCTGTGCTTTAAAAATTGTAACAAAGATGAAATTAGTATTAAGGAAAACAAACTACAAATGACCTCAACTTAATATTATATGTATGGTGATCCCTTAATAACTTTTTTGGAAGTGGAAAAAAATCAACCACTGTTCATGGGATAGCTGTAGCACCTTTTAAGACCACAAAAAATACAAAGTTCACATCAAACTAATAAAACTTAAAGTTGTCCAACTTCAATAATAATTTGAAATACATTTCATACATGTTAGGATATAATCTATATAACCCTTCTGGAAATGACTTGAGGCATAAGGTATAGTCTTCTTTAAAAAATACTTTATTTTATTATTTTTTTGTTATTTTTTAATTTTTAATAACTACATGATTACAAGAAGCATTTCACAACAGCTTTAACATATTCAGCAACACACTCCAGAGGAAGAGTACATATCTTTCACAAGTGGGTGTAAGTTTCTAGGTTCACAGTTGAATTAATACAGTTATACAATATTGAACTCAGTAAAAGCCCTGTAAGACATAAAATTGAATGAGTTTTTAACCTTTAAAGAAGATCTCCATCTCATTTTAGAATATATTGTTCCTTGAAGAAAGACTCAATGTTTTTGCTACTAACACTGAGATGTTGGTGCATGCATCTCTAATCTATATGTAACTGATTATTAGTCATAATTGGTTGCACTTGGATCCTTGGTGCCTGTGTATGTCTATAAAGTCATGGGGTAGATTTCAATGGTAATGTTTATCACCTCTACTAATTAACATGATGTAAATTTCCATGCTTCCTCTTCAAATATAATACATTTTAAAAAATTTGATTGTGTGTATGTGTGTGTATATATAACACAGAACATCCCAAACCATGTTATTAAACTATACACCCACTTTCCAGATGGCACCCTCCCATAGCCTCCCTCCCCCGACTAGAGCCCTTATACTCCAATATCCCTGCTACTGTCTCCTGTGTTGTCAGCAACCCCAGCCATTCGCCACTACTCCATCTGGTGAATCTAGTCAGGTATTGTTTTAGGAAGGTCAGCTGTTCCTCATCTAGCAGTAATCAGTTTTCAATACTCCTTTAGATAAGATTGGGGTCTGCTGTTCATTTTCCCAGTTCTATGCAGGGTTACTATCTGGGAGTACCTTTGGCCATCCTGGCCAAAACTCAAAAGAAGATATCTCCTATCTGGCATTGTTGCTTGTTATGTAGCCTTTAGCTATACATATGAACACTTAAAAAATTATACTGGTCCCTTTAATCTTTGGTTATACTTTCATTTTGGGTGTTTAAGGCCATACAGTTGGTCCAGATAAACCAATTCATTTTTACTCTTAAAGTCGTCTGAGGATCTGTTCCTCAGGGGTCACATGGGCTTAGGAGGAGCCCCTGGCTCCTTTCTTTTACCAGTTCCGTTTATGTGAAGATAAGTCAAAGGTCCCGCTTGACCATGGCTTGTTTTG